AAATTATAATGATCGTACTTTAAACAATTGAAATTAAACCGAACAAATTTTTAGAGTTTTTATTAAAGAAAAACGTACCTTAACACATCATATATCTTGTATATTGAAAATTATGTGTGAATAACTATTTTTCTTTGTAAAAATGTTTGGCCTCAAAATCGGTTGAACATTTCTATTACTTTTATTTATATTTTTTAAAAACGTATTATTTTGGGATATATTTGATAAAGAAGAAAAAAAGTCAGCTTCCATTTTTCTCCATTCATAGCTTATATGATAGAAAAAAGGAACAATTATGAATCAAAATTGCGCAATTTATCATATTTATCTTATTTCTTATATATATATATATATATATATAACTTTTGTTTGTATACCAAATTTGTGAATTCTTTGCTTAAATATAAATACGAACAAACTAATGTTTTTGAACGTTGAGAACACTCTTATCACTAGCAAACACGTCCCCACCCGAGTCGTGTGACATGGTGTTGTTATCATCTGTTTGGAACGCACCAAATTGATCAAAAGCGTGTATTGGAGAGTCGGTGTGTGACTTATCATATAAATAACTAAACCGTGTCAAAAAAATCGTAAAAAAAAAAAAGAGAAGAAAATTGCATGATAAAGAAAATCATATCTTAGATTTTTCTTTTGATGAAAGATATCTTACATTTGGACAAACTCGAGTTTTATGTTGGATTTTTAATCATATTAAATCGCTCAAAATACATTGACAGTGATTATCATACTATACTTGAAACTCTTTTATAAATATCAAAAATGGTATTCTGTATATATATATATATATATATATTTCATATCTCAAAAATTTCATATATTATATGAGTATCATATCTTTGGATAAATTTGTTGTACTTATCATTGTGGTTTAAGTTGATCTATGACTTATAAGAAGGTGTGTATACATACGTATAACTAAATTGTCGGGACATATTTTTTAAGATCTACTAAAAAGTTACTTTTCTTTGGAGAATGTTGTTTTTGTTGGATTTGAAGGACTCTTACAAACTCAACCATAGATTTTGGTGAATGGTGAACAAAAATCTGACATAAGATCTCAGCGTCTTATAGTGTGAACCATGTGTGAGTGTTTTTCTTCAATTTATTTTGCATGGCATATGTTCCAATTGGGGAAGAAGTATTTATCTTATCTAGGTCGGGAGACCAGTTTTTTAACCAAATAAAAAAGGTTATGATTTATCAAAATCACACAAGAAAAAATATTTAACATTAGAGCATGAAAACCAAATCAACCATGAACTTATAATTAATATTCTTTATTTTAGTCTTTACTGTTTTACTAACTTTTTTTGCCTACTAGCCTAATGTATGTTTCGAACCCAAGTTGGTTTGGGAACAAGACTTTTTTTTTTTTCTTTTCTATATTCAATCGGCTGATCCAATCAGTTTTAATATAAATACACCGAAATACTATATAGTGGATTTCTCTCAGCAAGGCAACCATGTCTATCCCGAGTTTGAAATATTTTCCGAATAATGCTCAGAAATATCCAATTAACTTAATCTCATATATCATGTGAATTGCTAAGGCCTTCGGTCTAAACCCATACTTCCGACACATATATAACTTTTGTTTACAGATTATATTAAACCTGGGTTAATTCTTTTTAACTTTCTCCAATTCTTTTTTACCACTAGACCACGGCCGTGTGAAACAAAATTTACATGATCTGATATTTCAATAACAAATTGGGCTAGATAATAGTAAATGTTGATGCGCGTAGAAATATGTAGAATCACCTACTTATATTCTATAATAGCATAAATCTATACTATCAAATTTTTATTTTTCTTTTGTAATAGAAAGAGAAGTTGTGATTATTGAAAAAAAAAAAAAGTTAATGTGGGAAGCATTTGAATGATACATCTTTGTGGCCACTAAAGTTTGATTTAACATGCTACCAAACCATATAATAAAAGTTTTCTAAATATATTTCTGCTTTACTACTTTTGAATATTTGCATGTGGCCGTTGCTATAGTTTTTCTCTTCTTTATGTTCTTCTTATTTCGAATAAACTAGCTAACCGAAAATTTAGGGTACAAAATTTATTTAAAAATCATTAATTTGTTGTTGGACATATTATTTATTTGATAAGATTCTCTTTCGTTCTTAATTCCAATTAAATTTTGTCTTCACCATTGTTGGTCTTGGATTCCATTTAGAATCATCGTCAGTTCGGAAAAGTCACTTGGTAATTTTGGAAATTACTTATTAAGATTGATAAAACCCACAAAAAGTTTAACATATTGAGAAAATATAAGTATTCAGTAGTTATTTTTAGTTGGTAGTTACACCAGGTACCAACTAATATATTGTTTCTCAAATTGTTTTTAGTATAAAATCATATAAACAACTTACTCAAACATTTTGTGGAAAAGAATAAACATTTTTTATACTAACCAATATAAAATAAAAAGCTGGATTTAGTTAAAATCATATAATAGTAGGTTTACTATATAACATTTTGATTAAAATAAAAAACCAAAAACGAACATTCTGATTAAAATTCTTGTTTAGTAGTTTCATATCAATCGCATCAACCACACTAATTACACCAACTACACAAATTAATCATACAAACGATACCATATTCTTTATTTGAGCCTCAAATTATTTTATTTATTTTAACTTCTCTTTTCTTTTCTTTTTTTTCGGTTCTAAATCTAGATTTGAAGACAATGGCGACAAATTAGATGAATGGACAATGCATGTGTTAAATATGGACTGTTTCTTCATCACTAAGCTATAACAAACATTTGGTTTAACAATTTTAATCTTATTTTATTTTCAGAAAGTGACCTTAAACGAGAGCTATTGGTGTCCCACGAAATATTTTCCTACTTTTATAAAAGTGGGTTTGAAATAATACTAACCCCACATAGTGCCACATGACTCAAAAGTCGTTATACGTATAATATACGGTCATACATCGTATTTTGAAAATTACCAAAATACCCTTATCAAAATTTTCTTTAAATTCCAGCCTCGTTCAATTCAATTCTTCCCTTTTCTCCTTCTCTTCTCTCTCATCTCTCTAATTACACAATTTTGAACCGGTCATTATGATGTCTACTGTACCGGCCTTTTCCTTTACTGAACCGGGTTTGGTTAACCAAATATCGGATTTCCAGACCGGATTCACTCCTTGGGAGTTGGACTGCTCCGATCTCTTCTCTGCTATCCATCTCGAACCGGTCGTACCGAGTCCTTGTTCTGGTGAATCCGAAACCGGTTCTGTCAAAATTAACACCGGTTTTAACAGTTTTGACGAATCTTGTATCGGTTCCATCAAAACGAACTCCGGTTCTGATGATTCCAACCTTTTCCACGGCGTACCAAGTCCTCAATCCGAGGAATTGGACTCGGGCAACACGAGAATCCGGATTAACGCCACGGACCATAACCGGAATAAATTGAACCAGCCGGTTTTGCAGGTGACTGACGACCGTAAACGCAAACGGATGGAATCAAACCGAGAATCAGCAAAGCGGTCGAGGATGCGTAAACAGAGACACATTGAGAATCTAAAAGACGAAGTGAACCGGCTCGGTTTAGAAAACCGGGAACTTGGAAACCGGCTCCGAATCGTTTTGTACAACATCGAACTGATATGTACGGACAACAATCGGCTTTTGTCGGAACAAGAGTTTCTCAGACGAAGATTCTTGGAGATGAGGCAGATTTTGATTCTCAGACAGCTTCAGCAGAATTCATCATTGATCATCAATCATCAACAAATGATTTGAGAAAAAAAAATAGAAAAAAAAAATTTAGAAAGAAAGAAAAAAAAATCAGATCAAAGCGAAGTATTTTTATTTCTGTCTCTCTTTTGATCTCTCTTTATGTGTAAATGAGAATATGAGTGTTACTTAGATGATGGACTTCGTTTTTTGCTGTTGTTTCGTATTTGGGCCTCTCTACTCATATTTATCAAGGCCCATTAGATAGATTTAAGTGGGCTAAATTATATGTGACTAACCAACCCACTAATTAACATACTTTAAAGTTTTCATTGAAGATAATGGCTTATTTGCAACAAAAACATTACTTCCTCACTTATATAGTAGGTGAATAACGTCGCTCACAAAATACATGCAAAACTATTAACCATTTTGGAAAAATATTGTTATTGATTCATTCTCTTCTAAATTTATCATATGAAAACAAATAAAGATGCAAGTTAATGCAAGCAATAAGAGTACTGTCTAATACTGTACTCTTGAAGCATCTATTGAAGATATTTATTCGGTAAGAATTGTCGTGTCTAGTGCAAGTGGAAGTGTCTGGATCGTCCCACACATGCCACGTGTTAGAATAAAATCTCCAAAAATACACAAAGAATCCAAATAAAAAAACGTATGGACCATCCATAAATTAAGAGATTGGTCCTCCTCCACTCTTTATAATCAATTTCATTTTTCTTGAAGAAAAAACAGAAACAGGAATAAGTAAAAGGTAGGGTTAGAGAGAGAAGAGCAAAAAGTAGTTAAGTGACCCAAAAGTGGAGAAACAGAGCCAAAAAAAAAAAAAAAACTAAAGTTGGAGACAGTTGTTTTGAAGAAGTGTTCTATGTCCAATCCACAAACAATGTTGCCTCTTGTCTGCAACTAGGAAACCTCTTCAAAATTTCTTAAGGATCACAAATTTTTGACACTAACCCTGGTTTTTATTATGTTTGGTTAGTGACTTAGTGTGAAAAGTAAAATTTTTGTACACTTTTCAATTTTAGAACCACTGGTTTTAGTTCAACGGCTATAAGAGGAACAATAAAATCAAGAATTTGATGATTGAGAACAAATAAATCCATTGATTTAGAATTCAGATTATGAAAAAAAAAAACACATCTCTCCTTTAGTTTCTTCTGGCTTTATATAGAAAGAAAACAACAACAACAATGCATCAAGTAAGAAAGAACAGAAACAGAGAAAAACAGAGTGTTTTGTTTTCGCCATCGTCCTTAGTTTTTTTTTAGTTTCACAGAGAAGGAGCAGTAGCAGAAGTGTTCATCAGCGTGGTCGGGCCAAGCGGATCCTTTCCATCACCGTTCTTATTGTTGTTATCGCCAATGATGGTGCTGCTTCCCGAGCTGCTGTTAGAAAGAGAACCAAATGTCGACTTTTGCAAGACGCCCGTTGGAGAAGAACCAAACTTGGGACTATTCGTCGTGCTGTTTAGTACCTCGCCGAGTGGACCTCCCATTGAGTTGTTATTACCCCACGAGATTGGTATCCAGTTATTCGTCTTTTTCCCAGGCTCAAGAAACTCAGTGTTGACGCCTAATCCCATGTGGATCGCAGGGTCAAACTCCCGCGATAACCTTAAAGGTGAGAGTGCTAGTTTATCTTGTACAGGAGAAGATGGAGCCATGGGGATCGACATTGAGAGCTGAGTCCAATCTGATTTCAGCTCTTCAGGCCAAGAATCGTCATTGTGGTGATTCCCCGCGTGCTTCGCTTGGTTGCTGAAGTCAAGATACGATCCAAAGCCTTTCGAAGAGTTTGCATAAGAGGCTTGTTTATGCGACGGATTAAGTAACGAATCAGAGGAGATGAGTCCGAATTCAAAAGGATTATTGCTTTGTTTCGGATGAGTTTCCTTCGACTGTAAGTTCATCGTGGCAGGAAAAACCGAAGCCCCTCGAGAATTTTGAACCCTGTGATGCAACAAACAACCATTAAGACTTCACAATAGAATTGTTAATTTGTGCATCATTGAATCATCAAGTAAAGGAGAGAGTAAACAGTTCATAAAAGCAAAAAAAATCCAAATATAAGGAATCCTAAGCCTCAATTAATAAGGAGTGGTCACTGGTCACAATCATAAAAGATGTAGTAATAATAATGAATTGGTGGGTCTACTTACTCATAGGGCAAAGAAGAAAAAAAAAAGTTAAAAAAAGGTATGAACATTAAAACTTAAGAATATGAAGATAGGTTATATCAAAAAGGCAAAAAAAAATTTCAAAAAGAGATTTTAAACGTTTTCACCTGTTAGCCAAAGAATCTGTAGATTGATTATTGGCATGATGATTGGTTCCAACAGCAGCGGTAAGGCTATTGTTATTATCTGATCCACGCATTGCAATAGCTGAAGTCCCTGCAGCCGCTTTGGACACAGCAGCAGCAGTAGAAGCAGCGGCAGAAGCGACGGCAGCATTAGTATTGTGGCCAATTTGGCCTTCCACAGGCTTTCTTGAACGATGGCGGCCTCTGTTAATATGTCGTTCACAGTACTTTTGATCGGGAACAGCGTCCCTCGAGCATCGCCATTTCTTTCCATCTGTCCGGCGACATCTCCCGGGCTCGGGATCCATGTTACCACCGGAAAAGCCCAGATGAAAAGAGCCCCATCCAACTACATCATAAACACACAAAACAAAGACTCTATTCAAGATCTCATAAAAACACCAATGGGCTACAAAACAAACCAACATTCCCCAAATAAAACCCATCACCAATCCATACAAGATTAATGTTCCAAAGTACTATACACTAAAAGGAATCAAATCAAAGATTAAGTAGAACTTACAAGAATTAGGAGGCAAAGATCCATAAGGGAAAAAAGATTTCTTGAGAGAGAGAAGTAAACTAGATGGCACAGGGACATTGGCTGTGATATACTTATAGATCAAAGCCTGTTGCTCTAGCTCTGCCCATTGAGTCAATGAAAAAGGTCCTTTTACTCCTGTCAACAAGTTTCCATGCATGTTGCTTGTGTTCATCATTCCTCCTAAACCATATCCTGACACCACAACAAAACCAATATCTCCCAATCAAGACTTCTTAAACCATTTCAATAAATCAAACTCTAATCAAAACCCATTTCTTTAAATCAAACTCCAAGCAAAACCCATTTCAAGAAAGTAAAAAAAAAAAAAAGCAGAGTACTTCAGTTTTTTTTTAGTTCAGACCTGAGTTTCTACAGTACTGAAGATAAGGTGAGACATCTGATTTGTCTGAAGTAGAAGAGAAGCTAAGCATATGTTCTTGTCCTTTACGAGGATCAATAGTGGTAGATCTCAGTAAAGGGATGCCTTGATGAAACGACAGTGTTTTAGCAGAGGCAGAGGAAGAAGAGAATACATCAGTTGATGATGTTCTTGAGAGCTTTGAACTTCTCCAGCAATCTTCACCATCGAAACCGGATCTTTCTTGCTTGTTGCTGAAACCAGATCCGAGTTCAGTTTGACCCGGAGAAGAACCGTTTTCATGACCAGAAACACGAACTCCAAGATCCATAAAATGGATTCAGAAGGAGACAAAAAAAAAAGAAGTGCTAAATAATCACTTCAGAGATTTTTCCCATGGGAGGTAATCGCTTGAGCTCAGTGAAGAAGAGAGAGACAGAGGGAGAAGAACGAGGCTAAGTTTTTATTTTCTTTATACTGTAGATATTATTTTTTATTTTATTTTAGAACAAGGATATTTATTTAATAAAACAAAAAATAAATAAAGTAATAATTGGGGGAGTGAGAGATATATGATATAGCTTTGGGTGGAGACAAAGAATGGTACCGAAAACACAATCAAGATCTCGGACATGTTACTATATATTTATGTATTCATGTTTTTATGATATTTGTTAGGCCTGAAAATTCGGGTATCCGTATCCGATCGGTTTCTTTTTTCGGGTTTCGGATTTTCGGGTAAAAGGATCGAGATCCATTCGGATATTCTAAAAATTTGGTTCAAATTCGAGTCGGTTCGGATATTTTAGTAAAGAAGTAAAATACCCAAAAATAACCAAAAATACCTAAAGTATTTTCGGGTTCAGGTCGGGTTCGGATTTTTTTTCTCATATATACCCAAATCTAACTGAAATATCCGATTACTCGAAAATATATGAGTTATTCTTTACCCAAATATAACCAAATGTATCTAAAAATACTAAAATTACCCAAAAAAACTACAACATTGGTTACCTTTTACCTAAATATATCCAAATGTATCCGAATTACTCAAAAATATCAAATCTATTCGGATTTATAATTGTAATTTAGATATTTGGGGTATTATAAGTATAAATATAACTAATATTTTAGGTGTAAATTTGTATTCGGGTATTAGATTCGGTTCGGCATTTGGTTCGAATTTTTCGGGTAGAGAGGTTTATGACCTATTCGAGTATTTTTAAAATTTGGTTCGGATTCGATTTGGACATGTTTTTGGGTTTTTGGTTCAAGATATTTTGTCCACGCCTAATATTTGTCAAATAAACAAAAAAAAGAAAAAAAAAGTCAGACGTCTACGTATGATTTTATTTTGATTATGTAAATGGATGTAGTAGTATTTTTTAATAAATTTGTGGTTACTTTTGTGATATAGAAAAATAATTATAGTGGAAGCAAGCAATGAACTTTTTAAAGATAAAAGACATGTGGACACCACGTGAGACATGTCTCTCAACTTCAAACCCTAAAGAAAGGAATTTTCATTTGCTTTTTGCTTTTTGTAATAACATTTCAGTTTTTTTTTTTTTTTTTTTGAATCTAATGTTAAATTATATTCAAGAAAAAAATAAACTTGTTTACACTTCAGTGCATGCTGTTTTTAAAACAAAAATGAAAAGACAAAAGATTGAGATTTTATCCTTGTTGCTTTGATTCAAACCAAACTTGGATGCCTCCCGCATACTTGTGATCTCCTCCACTCCTAACTGTGCTCAGCCTGTTTCTAACGTTTTGATCAATCATTTTGACCAGTCTCTCACATGGGGATGGGTCTTCGCCATGTCGTCTGCTGTTCCTTTCTTTCCAAATGGAGTGAATAGCGTTTTGAAAGATGTATCGAAGAATGAAGCACTTTGTCCTGTCTAGACCATTTCCGTTGATCAGCTTGAGGATTTCCTTCCAGTTTACTGTAAAGTTAGAGATGAGAATTCCTTTTGCGAGTGTCTGCCATACCTGCAGAGAGAAAGGACATATGAAGAACAGATGTTCCCTTGTCTCCGTGTGATATTGGCAAAAAATACAGTTTGATTTTGCTTGTCTGTTCCATTTGATCATTCTATCTCCCGTGGCGAGTCTGTTTTTTGCAACTAGCCATGTAATGAAAGCATACTTAGGAGTGGTGTGGGAAGACCAGATTCCTTTGTAGTCTTCCATCTGTGGCCTTGAAATTCGTATCTGCATCCATGTTTCTTTAGAGCTGAAATCTTTTCGGTAGTGATTATTCTCTCCTTTCCAAAAAGCAACATTTCAGTTATTTTTAATTGACGTAATGACTTAACCAGTTGTGCTAAAAGTAAAATCTAAGCTTCTTTAAGTTAATTTCAGTTAATTATATTAAAAAAAATGCAATTGAAAAATCTTAGTTTTGTAACCTCAAAATTGTAAATATAGTCATTTTTTTTTTGTAAATATCTATACTAGTATTTTTGCAACACTTTGGTGACGGGTGGGTAAAAATGCTTTCGGGTATATCGGATACCCGACCCGTTTTTAAAATTCCTTCACAAAAAATTTGTTGGGTCGGGTTATATTTAACCCAACTCATACACCGGATATTCCATATTTAATAATTTAGATATTTAGAAGATTTGATTAAGATTTATAATTATGATTCTCCTATCATCTTTGTTTGATTTGTTTTAAACTGTTTTGAATCATCATATAATACATAAAGTAAAACAAAAAAATCAATTTTTTTTCTGCATATACTGTGATTCGAAATTTTAAAAACGGACATATATTATCCAATTGACGAAAGTATGTGTTCAACGTTCTACATCGATTAAAATATTTAGACAATGATTCAGAATCATATCATAAATAAGAACATTAATAAAATAAATGAGTTTTTTGGCCGGACGGGTTTGGCGGGACGGATTTTTGAATCAACAATAATAAAAAGATTAAAATATCATTAATCCGCCGCTTCAATACGGATTAAATCCTTTTTTTTTAATACCACAAATATTAGACATATTAAATCAGTCTCATTTAGAAAAGATTGTATAAAACCAAAAATTGTCCCGTGGTATAATGTTACTTAATAACAATATTTATAAAATTTTAAAATATCATTAACATGCCGCTTTAATACATATTAAATCTTTAGTTTATTAAAATATAAATGTCTTAGAGAATGATATGATTTGTAAATTTTTATATATAAGAAATAATCATTAAAATTTAAAATAAAAACAAATCACGGGACGGGTTAAGAAATTATGGAACGGGTTATATTTCGGAAAGGATTTATATGGCGGACGAATTTGAATCAATATTTATATACCGCTTTAATACGGGTTAAATCCTCAGTTTATTAATAATTGTCTCGTGGACTCGTGGTATACCGTTACTTAATAACAATTGTAAACTATAATATAAATAAATATGTTATAAGGAGATACAATTTACAAAATATTTTTATACTAACTTTAAAATTAAATCATCTCGCGGTGTACCGCGGGTTAAAATCTAGTAGTCATTATAGGTCTAGCCGTCTAGGTTAAGGTAATCACGTTTAAGTTTTAACGCATTTATAGTTAACTTAACTAAAACCTTGTTTAAACCAATATCAAAATAAACCGAGTGATATTTCATCTTTCTTCGTTTTTTTTTTATAGTTCATATCGAAAAGCTTAATTTAAACCAAAATAAGAAAATCAGATTGTACATCTTCAAAATAATGGAGGATTAGCAATATTTAGGTATACTATATAGTTTGAAAATTAATCCATCAAAATGGTATTTTGTGAAATTCTTGCTAAAATAATTATCAAACCTAATTGATCAAGGCGGTGGTGCATGTGTCTCTAAAATTTGTTATGATATAGATGTATCCATTGTTACCAAACGTTGCAAAAAAAAAAAAAAGATGGGGTATGCTTTAAGTGAGATTTTAGTATGAAAGAAGTTAGAGAATTGTCGTTTTGAAATAAATATAGAGAGTATTGAGTGGAGTATCAAATATCTATCAGACTCACGTGGTTCCCAATTATATTTGGACCGTCTAATGGTCTTCTCCGGTGTACCCCAGGATTTTAGTTACATGGGCCATTTATGTTCTTCAATCCTATCTCTTGGGTTCAGTTTTATTAAAAGAATGGACTTATCTAACATTACTACATCATCGCAAGTGAAACTAATATCAACGAGGCTATGAATAATGAGTATCTGAAACTAACGAGCTTGGTCTATGTTTATGATATTTAATAATTCTTAAGTTATATATATATATATATATATACTTTGAAACGTTCTGGTTTTGCTAATTAAACGGTTCTTTGTTGGGGTAGTTTTATGCTTTTATTTATTGTTTTTTTTTTTTCAGAGCTGAGATACTCAAAACGTCATTGCTCTTGAATGTTTTTGGTATTAGCTTCTAAACTATTGTAAAACTCATTTCTCCTTCAGAATTGTTGTAGTGATTAATAGCTTCTTTCTATTCTTAAGTTTTGCTTTGTAATTTTCAAATTTTATTAGTGGAATGGTTCTTTTTTTTATATATAGAGTCTAGCTAATCTCATTTTCTTCACCTGTCGTAAGGGAGTAGGAGTCTGAGTTGTTCTTGTTCATGAGTCCAAGGTTGTAATAGCCGGAGCTGTTCTTGGCATGCTTTGAAGGATTGTCCCAGCTTTATGGTTACGAGATTAAAACTAACACATTCTCGATTGTTATCTACACAAATTAGTATACTTCCTCCGACTCAAAAATATAAAATATTTTAGTTAAAAATATGCAGATTAAAAAATATCTACTTTTAAAAAATTTAACAAATCATGAAAAGAATTGCTTAATATAAATAATTATAAGATATTAAATTAATCTGTAATTTATATTATACATAAAAATTTGAAAATATCTTATATTGGAAAAAAAAATTCTCAAAAAACTTCTTACATTATGAAACTGAGGGTGTCTATTTTAATGATGCATATTTCGTTTATTTTGAGTACAAAATTATGAAACCACTCGTAATCAAGAACCTTCCAAGATGTCAATTAACTCTTAGATCTTCGCTTCTCTACACAAACCATCGTCCCTCTTCTCGATTCTCTCTCTCTACTCGCCTATTCACCACCGGAGCCACCTACATTCGCCGAGGGAAAGCAACGGCGGAGCAGACACACAAACGCGCCGCCGTGAACTCTAACGATGTGGTAAGGATTCGGAATAAGAAGAATCGTGAACTCTTCGTTTCCCTAAACGACACCGTATCGAATATTCTTGCGACGGAGGCTGATTCCGTCACCGATGTTATCATCGTCGGAGCTGGTGTTTCCGGTGCCGCTCTTGCTCATACTCTCGGCAAGGCAAGTCTCTACGCTATTATGATTATTTATTTTTGTAATAATGTGATTCAATTTTTTTTTTTTTTTTGGTAATAAGATCACAAAAATGGTGTGATCTTAGTTCCCGGAACATTGGAGATAGATAAGCTTCTTTCATGGTTCTTGTCTGAATTTTTATGTGTTGAAGACGTAAGTTCTTGTCTGAATTTTGGCCTTTTGTGTGGTTGTTGAAGGAAGGACGAAGAGTTCATGTTATAGAAAGAGATTTGTCTGAGCAAGACAGAATTGTTGGTGAATTGCTTCAACCTGGTGGTTACTTGAAGTTAATAGAACTTGGACTTGAGGGTAGAGACTAAATAATGAGCTTAAACTGTTACATATATATACTTGGAATCGATTTTTTTTTTTTAAGTTTCGTTGTGTGATTGTAGATTGTGTGAAGAAGATAGATGCTCAACGAGTTCTTGGTTATGTTCTCTTTAAAGATGGGAAACATACTAAACTTTCTTACCCTTTGGAAACGTTTGATTCGGATGTAGCCGGGAGAAGTTTCCACAATGGGAGATTTGTGCAGAGAATGCGAGAAAAAGCCGCTACTCTTTCGAAGTAATCTTATTGATTGTTTCTTTAATTGAATTCAGCTTGATTCTAACGGTTTGTTTGTGAATCAGTGTACGACTGGAACAAGGAACGGTTACGTCGTTGCTTGAAGAAAACGGGACAATCAAAGGGGTTCAATACAGAACAAAGGAGGGTAATGAGCTTAGATCATTTGCTCCTCTCACAATTGTATGTGATGGTTGTTTCTCCAACTTGCGTCGCTCTCTTTGTAAACCTAAGGTGGTCTTATATATTGGTTGTTAAAGTTAGTTTGCAGTAGTTGCTTTTGATTTGATTTGTGGAACTTAGTTTTGGTTTGATTTCTATCAGGTGGATAGGCTATCTACTTTTGTGGGTCTTGTCTTGGAGAACTGTGAACTTCCATTTGCAAATCACGGGCATGTTGTTCTCGCTGACCCATCACCTATCTTAATGTATCCCATCAGCAGTTCTGAAGTCCGTTGCTTAGTCGATGTACCGGGCCAGAAAGTTCCTCCCATTGCAAATGGCGAAATGGCTAAGTATCTGAAAACACGGGTTGCGCCTCAAGTACCAACTGAGGTCCGTGAAGCATTCATCGCCGCGGTTGAGAAGGGTAATATCAATACCATGCCAAACCGAAGCATGCCAGCTGATCCAATTCCTACTCCTGGAGCTCTTCTTCTGGGTGATGCATTCAACATGAGACATCCTTTAACTGGTGGTGGGATGACCGTTGCATTGGCGGATATCGTTGTACTCCGTGATCTTCTAACGCCAATTCACAACCTTAATGACAAAGAAGCTTTGTCTAAGTATATTGAATCTTTTTACACACTGCGAAAAGTAAGCACCTTTAGTTAAAGTAAACGCTTCTAATGTGTTGATTCAATTTCTTTTAGTGGACTTATGTGTGGCCTTTCAACAGCCTGTAGCTTCCACCATTAATACGCTGGCGGACGCGTTGTATAAGGTCTTTTTAGCATCTTCGGATGAAGCAAGAACGAAAATGCGTGAAGCTTGCTTCAACTATCTTAGCCTTGGAGGTGTTTGCTCATCTGGTCCAGTTGCATTGCTATCTGGTTTAAACCCTCGTCCTCTGAGTTTACTTCTCCACTTCTTTGCTGTGGCGATCTACGCTGTTGGTCGTTTAATGCTACCATTTCCTTCGATTAAAAGCTTTTGGCTTGGAGCTAGGATAATCTCGGTATGTGGTTCTTCCCATCCTCTAGAACAGAATTACTTCTACTATACACAACCTCGCAAAGAAGTTTGATCTTTGATATTTTTCATAGAGTGCTGCAAGCATCATCTTTCCCATAATCAAAGCAGAGGGAGTTAGGCAAATGTTCTTCCCTCGTGCTATCGCTGCCATATACCGTACTCCTCCTTCTCAATGATGCATCAAGAGTTACATACATTAAATGATCTATGCAGGCAAATACTATAACTTTTAATCTAATATCTTAGTTGCTTAATGCTAATCATGTGGGTGTTTAGGCTAGATAGCTCAGGAGTCAGGAACCAGTGTAAACATAGCTCCTTAAGTATATATGATTGAGAGCAGAGAGTCTTGTAAGTGCATCAATGGAAAGCACCTAAGTAAATCCGAAGCGTAAATGAAAATAGTTCCGGTGTTGTTAACTGTCAGCATGGTGACCAGTCTCACCATATATATCATATATGTCCTGCGATATTAGTCCAATAACTGCGGGAAAAACCAGATAAAATTCTCGGATTCTACTACTCCAATTTCATTTTCTCGTTTTTAATGGTGGTCGATGATGCTATTATTGAGGACAATATGAATCTCAATGTACATCAATCGTATTAACTAGGTGAGCACCCGCTCTACGAGCGGGATTTTGCTTTATTTATTTTTTAAAATTAATGTTGAATATTTTTGTTGATCAATTGTGTGTTTAATAGTGTTATAAATATTCACTTTTTATACATTGTATTTCCTCTTTTATAATTTATCGATAAAAATAAATTATAAATGTATGTCCGTAATAATAGATTAAGGGTGGGCAGAAAAATCTTCTCCGAAAATCGAACCCGAACTGTAATTAAGTGATTTGTTTTGGTTTCGGTTTCTTCCAAACACTAGTTCGGCTACTTTTATTTAAAATATTTTGGTTTCGGTTCGGATTGGTTTTAAACAGTAAAATCATTTTTTTGTTAATAAACTTTATTATTATAATATCATTTGTTTGGTTAGCTTTTAACTATCTTTGCAATATTCTTTTCATCTTCTTGCCAATATAAGTTACCTGAATAAATTTTCTTAATCTAATGATATTTTTTCTAAAACTTTTATATCAATACGTGTTTGAGAAGAGGAAATAAAATTGAACAATGATATATTTCAAATAATATTATGCTTAACATATAATTGGTAAAGTATGTTGGAATGTACTCATAGTTTCATCGAATCTAAATCAATGATGATACAATTCAAGATAAAATTCCAATGCAAAAGAGTGTCTTAATTTGTATGGTCAGAACATTGATTGAGCAATATAATTAATTTGGGGCACAAAAAAAAAAACTGAAAATAATCAAAATCGAAACAAGCCGAATTGCACATGGTTTTTATGTGGTTTTCTTTTTAGTAAAACCCGTAAACCGTAAGACCGAAAAACCAATCGTAACAAATTCAAATTACATATGGTTTCTATATTGTTTTAGTTTTTTAGAAAACCGAAAAAACATAGAAGAAAATGAAAAGAGCCGATGAAAATGAACCGAATGATTTTTTTTGGTGATTTATTCATGAACATGTGACACTTGATATGCTAACGTTGTGGAAAAAAATGAAAAGAGTTGGTTAGCTTTCATATATATGATTACAAAGATATTATATATTGTTATAAAATTACTTTCTTTTAGGATATCAGGCGGAATTTCTTTTTTATTTTTTTCCTCATAGCAGTGGCCATCATAGTTTCACCAGATTTCACTGAAATATGACTATAATTAAAACAGAAATTTGTAATGAAATGTATATATAATAGTCAGAGTTCAGTTTTACTTGATTAATATTTTTTTATGACTTAAAAATAGGAAAACTCACCTAGAGGTCAGTATCTCAATCGGTGAACCCAAAGCCTGGCTTTTAAAGAGTCGGTCCATGTCCTAATTAAATTTGAACATCGGTTGCAGGGAGCTAGGGACAATGCTTTGCTCTAGTCTTTGGTCCGAAGAGATGTAGTTGTGAGTTGTGACCATGTTATGATGGGCCAGAATTAAATGAGAGATATAGGCCTATATATTTAGAAGGTTTTTCCAAAAAAACAATTTTTCATTTCGTCAATTTTTACAATTTTATCTTCTATCTCCAAAAAAATGTAAACCAATCATAGCAAATAAAAAACAATACGTAATATAACTATATTTGCGTATCTTCTAAAAGTTTTCACGGTCACTACGTAAGATTTTCAATATTCTAAAAGTAGATTTGAAGTTCTCGTTGTGAGGACCTCAATTTAAAATATTATTTAAAACAAAATGTTAAGGGCTTTAAGTGTAGCTCCAAAGCCTATTCTATTCCCAACATCATCAATACTTGGAATCAATGAGGTCGTGTTATAGCTAAATTGATTTCTAGATTTGGTGAACACGACAAAACCAAAAAAATACATAAATTATTGGATTAACTATTTGCAACATAAATCTAAAGCAGAAGAGCTTTCAGAGCAAGGCTGGATATTTTTTTTGTTGGTAACGCTTGTGAAAAGTTTATATTTATTGAAATGTTTCTAAAATGTCCTGCTTCAGTCGAAGATCCATTTCAAAGCAACAACACTCCATGCTTCAATGTTGTGTATACTCTTTGTGTTCTTAAAATTGACCCACTTTGGCATCTCTCTATGCAGACAATGAGACAAATTTAAGGCTCTAATGGAATCGAAATTGAACATATCATGTGTAAGTGTAGTTTTTCACTTGAATTTTGTTAGTCCTACTGATTCGAGAGATGTTGTTATAGTGTCGAATGGCATTATTTTGTTGTCAACTAATTTGGCTCCTTTAAATTTTGCAAATTGTAAGGATATAGAAATGCGTTATTTTCGTTGACTTCATGAATGTGAAGACAATGTAGTTATCAATTGATCGACCAAATTTGCAAGTTGTTAAAAACAAGAGCGAAAAAGGAAGACACATACATCGAAAGCCTTGTCACTATACAAAGTTCTAAGAAACCGTATTTATTATTACAAGCTTTTGTCATTAACTCAATAAATCGTCGTAGCTATAATGCTATATAGAATAACATTTCAAATAACATTATTACCATATTCATATGAACAATAAACAAACTCATACATTGTTCACTGAGATCGGATTTTTTCTATGTGTATTTGTTTCACGAATCGAGAAGGAAATTTCAAAGATGTTAACACTTTTATAATCTTGAGCTACAAGTATGATATATCTTGTTGGATAGAATTTGAAAAATGTTGTTGTGACGACAAAACCAAATCAATTTTGTTTTTGTTTTATTAGATAGTAAAAGACAAAACAAGCCAAGTAATGTAAAATTAAAGAAGGGTCCTACGTTATGGAAGAGGTGAAGCAAGAGTTGGTCCATATCTCCTAGGATATATGCGAGGACCAAGACAACGTGAACGTCATGTTAGTTGTCACTCATTTTCATATGAACCCTCTTGATCTTAAATATGAATCATCATTGTAAGAATACAATAATTAAGTAACATGCACATTTTTATACATACAGAGAGACATTACTCTATGAACAGAATAGCTTAATAAGCTGTTGCATATTTTAAAACATAATATTGTTCATAAATTGTAGAGGTTAATTTTTATGTGATGATTGTGCACAAGAAAAAAAAAAATAATTTTATGTGATGATTAATATGCATTCTGTTTCACAATAAATATCATTTTAGACTAAACATTTTTAAAAAACATGTGTCGTTCTTTAAACATGTGTCGTTCCTTATATGATTGAAGTCTTAATTAAACTTTCACTAAAATAGAAAATAGAAAATAGAGATGAGAGCAGACACTAATTTAATATTAAATTGAATTAATAAAAAATTAAATAGTGGAAATATATAATCTAAATTGGAAATAGGTAACCTAAATATAATACCATAAACCAATATTTAAATGAATTAAAATCTCTTTTAAAGGATGGAAATATATACCTTAAATTAAAAATAATGAACCCAAATATAATAACACAAATTCAATATTAAATGACTTAATATCTCTTTTAATTGGTAGAAATATATACCTTAAATTGGAAATAGAGAACCCAAATATAATATTTTAAATTTATTTTGGTTAAATAGTTTTTAAATAAAAATTGTGGTATTATTGGAAAAAATAAACTAGTGATAATACTTTTGGAACAAAAACTTAATAGTGAGTCAATTAATGCTATTTTTGAAAGTTTATGAAGTGTGTTGGATCGCCGTAGGGGAAAATTGGGAAAACATATTTTCCACGCGCGACGCTTCAGAATCATATACCTCGGGAAGCAAAAGAAGTCGAACCGTCTCACACGCGTAATGATTGGACGCCGTTATGGAATTCTAGTCTACGTCATAAACGATACCCTAGAATTGGGGGATAACTGTTGATGGTTGAATTGGACTTCTCCCAATTCAGGCCCATTCCGACGACGACGGTCCGGAAAAAATCAAAGCCCGAGATTTAAATAGGGTTAAGGCATGCCATTAGGTCAAAAAGGGGCATTTTTGGAAATACATCAGAGTCGGGACCGATCTTGGGTCCCTATAAATACGAAATATAAAAGTCTTGTCAGGAGATCCGGTTTTGACGCTGACACAGAGAGAGAGAGAGTACATTTCGGCTCGTCTATAAGCTATACGGCTCGTCTAAGCGACCTCAGTTCGTCTTACTTTGTAGTCAATTCTGATTCGGCCTTCTCCTTTGTAAACCAGTTAATTTTGCCTAAGTTTGGACTCATCTTTATCCGAGATTCTTCTTACTTCCCTTAAGATTTAGTTCGTACTAGTTTGATTCATACATCAACAATTGAGTTTTCTAATCCGTCACAAATATGTGATATTATAGTAATATTCACAAAATTAAAGTGTGTTTAACCCTATAATTATGAATCAAAAATGTGTTGATAATATATTATCAATGATATCATTAAGGAATTATATTCATCCAAAAAATCTCTCGAACTTTTGTTGTTGTTAAATATTTTTATTAGTTATAGGGTTAATTAGATTGGTAGCATTTCGTTTGGTTATTTAGGTAAAAAAAATTAGTGGCAAAAGCCATTGATAGCATAGAGGATGTGAGTTTTAACCTCATATTCACCCGTTTGAAACTATTTATGTACTACTTAAATATTTGTACCAAACAAAGTGATTATCCCTCACTACATGTGATCATTTGATCTCATCATGTGATTATTTGATCTCATCATGTGATCATTTGATCTCATTCTTAATCTTATCTTTTGAATTACTTGGCCATAAAAGTTTCTGTGCCTCAAAGTCATTGATACTTATCTAATTGTAGACTCACTATAAATAGTTATGGACGTTGGATGCTAGTGAGTAAGAGAAGAAGAAGAGTGAGAAGCAATAATAAGAAATAGAGAAGAGATTT